AAATCTAGAAAGGGTTAAGAATCACCGTTTTCTGTTTCCATTGTAGATGTGATATTAGGGTGTAAGTTGTTAATGTAATTTAGAAAATTGAGAACATCACCAATATCGCCTCCAAAAAGTAATAAGCAATCATTAACATATCTGTAACAAAATACTAAACTTGAATTGAAATTAGAATTGTAAAATTGTTTCTCAAGGTTGTTCATAATAATTTTGGTTAAGAACTAAACCAAGCAGATCAGAAATGTTCAAGATGTGGTGAGTTGGGGTGTTGTTATGGAACAGTAAATTTCTAACTAATGAAATACAATCCTCAGGAGGAATGCTGGGGAACGAATTGGTCACATCAAAGGACACTAAAACTCAGTTGGTGGGAATGGGAATGTTCTTAATTTTATTAGTTAAGTCTATTGAATTAACAGAATGGCAATTGTCAAATCAGTGAGGTCTATTAATAATTCCGTTTCGCGTGTATCTCTGTCAACAACCGAAATGTTTTTGCATTGTTATTTGAAGTTATATAATTCCTGATTTCTCATTATTAGCTCCCTTTTGGGTGTAGAGCCCCAATTTTCATATGATTGATTGTCATCCAAAAATGTCAATATTGTCATGTCAATGTCAAATCACCACTTTCAATTTTACATTTCTGCGTCTTTCCTTCCGATGGCTTGATTGCAGTTAGATGAAGTTCATTTGAGTAATTTTCAAAAATTGATTCTATCATTTTATTCCGATACTGAACTTACTTTTATCGTCAAATTCTTTTGGCTCTTTAGCCGTTGCATATTTTGTTGAGCGCGAGACTGGATTGATCCTTTGTTATAACGACCGGATAATAAATTTTTTATATTGTTAAGATGTTTTTCTACCAAGAGGTATGTCAACTCTTTCTCAGCTACCATTTTGTTTTATATCCATACTATTTTATTTGATTCTTTGGGATTTCTCTCCTCGTTTCTATAAAATAAAAATATTCGTAATATTTCAATATATTTGTAGTGGGACAAATCAGATGATTTGCCTCAAAATGTCTCTGCGTTTAACAAATTTTTCTATCAGGGAGTCTAAAAGAAAAATCCAGTAGCTGTCAATGACAATTGGTGTGAAAAAATGTTTGAAGGAAAGAAATATAGATATATCGAAAAAATATTGAATTTTTACTCATCTTTGGACGTTTTGGGACCAAATCTACTCCCGTTCTCAAACTATAAGCAGCAAAACTTTCGAAGTTCGAAAAAAAATAGTTCGCATTTATATGTTGAGAACGGGAGCAGATTCGGTCCCGAAGCGTCCAAAGATAAGTAGAAATTCGATAATTTTTCAATATATCGTATATTTCTTTCCTTCAAACATTTTTTCAAACAAATTGTCAATGACAAGCTACTGGATTTTTCTTGACTCCCTGATAGAAAAATTTGTTAAACGCAGTGACATTTTGGGGCAAATCATCTGATTTGTCCCACTACAAATACAGGGTGTCCGGAAATTATGCGCATAAAATCAAGGGGGTGATTCTACATGATGAAATAAGAAATTCTCTTTATATGTACGTGGGTCCGGAAATGCATAGTTTTCAACATACAGTGTGTTAAAATTTTTAAACAAGATCGGTTCTTTATGGATATCTCAAATGCCCTTCTACCAATTTTCTTGAAATTTGGCAATGATATTCTTTGTCATGAGGGGCTAATATAGCCATAATTCAATTGGAATTATAAAATCCAGTGGCGTCTCGGGGGGCAACCTACCGAATATTATTGTCAATAAAATGTGCGCCACTGATTTTTATTTTATAGAAACGAGGAGAAAATCCCAAAGAATCAAGTGAAATGAATATACCACCTCCTCGATTAAACTACAGACAGTATATCCATACTACTTGTAATTTTCTACGAACTTTTTACATTGTGTCTGAAGATGTCCGTTGAGCCGAAACTATAGTCAAACGCTGATTATTTTCATATTAAATATTGTGGTTGACCTACTTTGAGTTCGTTTTTTTCTCCTGTTGAACCAGCTGATCATTTGGATCATTATTATACAGTGTGGAGACTTTAAACTGAAATATTCAGTTTCAGTTTATTCTGTCTAATTACCGTACAAATATTTTTACAAAATGTCAATGGTTTATGCCACAGATGAAGGAGAGAGATAGCACCTAAGCATGTGAATTGCTTGTTTTGGGACATGTCTCTCTCCCTCCTAGTGGTTATAATGAATAGTACCAACTATGTTATAATACTGCCTAAATAGTAGTGGGTGATATGGTAGATCAATAATTAAGCAATTCTAGAAAAACCCAGAAGGAAAAGTAACAAAAAAAAATTATCAGTATGGATCAGGGTACAAATGAAGATATATAAGGGGAGTAATATGAACATCATTCTTGTTTCATTATTTTTTCATTTTAGAAAATACTAATAATGGGACTTTGACTCTGACCTCTGAAATATCTCAAGCTTGACTTATATTTACTTTTCTTACTAATAATTTTTATGTGAGGAGGCATCATATTGAAGAGCTTTGAACCAAAAAAAGGAGACGTATCTTTGGGTGTGGTGTTTTTTATATAACGGCAGGTTAAAACCCAAGTTTTCTGCAATATCTATAGTATTTGCTCTTTTTTTTTCATCATATCTGTTCTTTCTATGGAATATCCACATCAAACAATGCAGTGAATAAAGACTTCTTACATTAAGAAGGTTAGTTTATTTATATAGTTGTTCACTCGAGAATAGTTAATTTTTTCTGAATATTATTTTTATAACAGTGTTTTGTATAGCCTGGAAGCTGCTAGTGAGTGGTATAAAATGCACATGCACTGGAAAAATTCGTTATCAGGGAGGTGAATATTTTTTCTGGAAATTCCTGGCATACGTCAACGATTTAATGTATTTACCCACTTTTTGCAAGCATTATCAAGAATATATCCCTCTTGGGGTAGCTGAAACGAAATAAAACCATATGGCTTTTATAACCATCCATTGGAAAGCTGGTGGAAAGAATCCAACACATTAGACAAATTCAAGTTTTTCATAGGTTTAAAGATTGCATGAAATTGAAATGTAATTTTGAAATTCATTTTTTTTTCAACGTACCAATCGCTCAAAATGTGTGTTGAACAATTGATGACAATTTTTTGCTACAACTGCTATCTGATATTGTCTTCCAGTGTTTCTATAGAGCCGCAAAAATATATTTTCTTTTTCGCTGCATTGCTTGAAACGAGGTGTTATTGCGAACTTGTGGAAATGCCCCATATCACTGTCACTACAGGTCGAAATTTGGATGAAAATACGTTGAAAATATATTAAACTTCGAAATTGTATTTAGATGTTATGCAACCCCAAACGTACTGCAAACTGAAATATGATAAGTACGCTGGATTCATTTTTCAACCAGCTTTCCAATGAGGTGTCGCAAGCCATAGGGTTGCATTACAAAAAAACATGTTGGGGTAGATTCCTGCTACCCCTGAAGGGTTATATTTTCCATATTGCTCGCCAAATGTAGGTAAATACATTCAAAAGTTGACGTCTCTTGCAAATTTTCAGAAAAATCATTCACTCTTCCAGTAGCGAATTTGTGACTAGTGATAGCGTATGTTCCGTTTTTCTCTCGTTGAGTGTCGAATTATTGTGCTCCTCACTTGGCCTGGTCGTTATTTATGATGGCAGGAGTATTCTCAATTGATAATATAGAAGATGGACTCTTCAATTATGATAATATTTAGTATCAATCTACCTATCTAGTGTTTCGAATTTCATTATGTAATGCATGCGTTTGATATCTCACAACAAGTAATCCGAGGTTATGTTAACCTGCCTCTATTATAGAAATAAATAACAATAAGGTTGCCAAGTACCGAAATGCCTGTGCCAAAAATAATGAGAACTGAAAAGCCAGAAATGTTATCAGGTTATCAGACTGTATCGAACAAGTTTTAAACTCGTTTCTCATACTCCTATGGAGGAAGAATTCTGGAACCAAGAAAGGCTACTGATAACTGATGAAGAATTTTACATTTCAGAAGTACCTACCTCGCAAGGAAGAATCCATTTCGAGGGAATGCTACCCAAATAAGACGTAGATACCAGCCGATAAGTAGCCACTCTGAAAAGTTTCATCATGGAAGAACAGAAGTGAAGAAGATATTATTGTGTTATTCATAAATTGTTTCCTGGATATTTGGTATGTGTATGTTTGATATAATATGAGAGGGTTACATTAAAAAATATAATTACTAGAACTTTCATATCCATTGGACCCCTAAAACCCTTTCCCTTACCACTACTGCAATATTAGGTAACCAATGTCGATAATTAGCGATTACAGTCCTATCATTTATGTATCTGCTGGGCTTGCTATGGGAAGCTTAGTGTGTCGATTATGTTGTACTGGCCTTCTGTTGGGGAACTGAATATGATTGCCGAGTACCCAGCACTGGGACCAGCTGCCGGCCGCAGTGTACTGATTTACAGAGTCCCGCATATGGGTCCATTTACTGGGCCGCTGATGTCAGGTATGGGGAGAATACATTAGGCCTATAATGCCCCATATCAAAATGTTTGCTGGGGTTGTATTGATGATTATTGAAAATTCCTCTTCTCTTTTGAAACAAATTATGTTGCTTTAGCAAACCACACCCGCGCTATGCGCTCGTGTAGTTGACAAGCATCATAATTTGTTTCTTAAAATCGAAGGGATTATATTTTGATAATCATCAATGCACTTGATGTATTACATAGGAGAATTATTCATTAATTAAGCAGAGTTCTACATACCTTCAAACTCCATAGACTACCTTGAATAAAATATTACCTAACTATGGTCAGATCTTTTTATATCAATCACTACAAAATAGAAATATGAAGCCGAATATCATGTTATTCAAAGCTGGAAAAGTTGAAATTACGATCCAGTAAACATTTGTTGTCAACGATAGAAGAGAGATGAAAACACACTCGATCCGTTTATCAGTTATATTAAACCATAAAAAATATAATTACAGTACAGTTACTGGGGTGCCCTACCACGGCCGAATCCTTGCCGGAACTCAACATCGGCAGTTCCAGGTCCAACGTCGGCTTTTTTGTCGGCCCCTGGGCCTCCAGGTGTCCTTCTGTAGCCAGCACGATCTTCGGAAGGCTTGGATGTTTCTGATCTGAGAGCGGCAGGTCGAGGACGAGTGGTCTCTGTACGTGCAGGCCTTTTGAGGGTAGATGGGACGATTTCAGGGGGCAAGTGCAAGAAGGTGCGGAGGTATTCAATGCCAGAGTTGGTCAAGTACCTGAAAATCATAGCTTGGTTGATTTCTAATTGTTCAGCAAGTATATTCGAATGTTTTTTATTCTTCTTGTGAATTCTATCGCCCAACAATTTTTTTCTTGATCAATATCTGAAACACCCTGTAGATTGAAATAATACAAATGTGTAATAGTGTTCAAGCGATACACGGTTTTTACATAGGTGAAATCCCCAATTGAAATCCTCGAAATAATCGACAAAAATCATGTCTTCTGATTTCTTTTATATTTTGAAGTTATCTCCTAATCCATGATAACTTCTTCCAAGTATGTTTGAGTAGATGGAACTTTTTCTTATGATTGTATGCTTCTGAGCTTGCTTTCTTAATAGCCAGTCAAATAAGACATTAAAATCGCATAGCGTCACATAAAGCAAAAAATTAGGACGACTCGAATTTTCGACATTTTTATATTGCGATAACTTTTTTGCAAATGAACCGATCTTCAATCGGAATGCAGTGTTCAAAAGATGCGTCCTTTATGTTTAGGATTCGTTGTTCGAAACTTTTCGTTTTCCAGTTATGACATACTAAGTCAAAAAGTTACATGAGCGAAAAAGTTTAGGAGCTCCCGTATTCCCCCTATGTTTTCATCCTTCTGCAAATCAACTTTCTCAAATCTCCAAGTAAAAATCTCGAAATATTTTTGTAATTTCTGACCTTCTTTATACAGGATGTGAAATATCGATATTCTGCATTTTTATGCATTTCTGTGGATTCAAAAGAGTTCAGGCGATATTCAAACCGTACTGCACTGTAATACGATCGACTTCTTTCCTGGTGAATTTACACCTGGACTTAGAAGCAGCAGAACTTTCGACAACAACAAAATGAGCGATTTTCTAATAATGTGTGAGATTTTGTGAAATCGTCTGCTTATATTGATGCTGCTACAAGAATGTGCTTGTGAAATAATGAATCCTTCATTCAGGTGGATTGCCCCAGTCAACATCTCGAAACGAAACAATTTCGTGATTTTCTATTCAATTCCTGGGGCCGCAAGGGGGCACTTTTGCATCATTAAGTACTTTACATGTGATTTCCAGACATTCCTGATAGTTGGTATGAAATAAACCTCTATACGTCTCCTTCATCACGATTCTAAGCAAGTGATTACATTCGAACACTCAATATAACATCCCAATATGAAAGAACTGCCAATCTCAAATTCCATAAATCCGTAACTAAGTGTGCTAGACATTCTATTATATGAAATCCTAACATTATTTTGGCTCACTCTATCAGCCCTATCATTCATGCCAAGACCTTTCTGGACACCCTGTATAACAGGGTGAGTCAGTTTTTTGTAGCAGGAACAGCTCAAAGAATAAAATCTCATGTAAACATATGCGTAGGAGCCACTTTCGATATACAGATGGTGAATTTTTTTTTGTTTTTCAGGTTTTGCCATAGAGTTTCATAAACACATAATGTGAAAGCTATACCAAATTAGAATTGATTATTTTGAAAATTGTAAGAGAAAACTAGAAAAACATTGAAAGAATCCCAAACTTAGAGTCCCTGTATATCGGAAACTAAGCTCCCACGCATATAATATGTTCACATAAACTTTTCATCGTGAATATATGTCTTCTTCAAGCTGACACTTTACCGGCCATGTCAGTCATCCAAGACTGACACGAAATAATCCTGGGAGGCAGAGGTCATTATTAGTGTTCCACCACCATAGGCCGGTAATCGGACACCAAAGTTATGAATGGATTCGGTCTGAATATTACAGATCGAGCACAATGAAGTGTCAGTCAAATGCGACTGACGCATTGTCAGGCCGTGTCAGTCCTATTTGTTATCGATTATTTTTTTTTATCGCTTGGAGCGCACGAGAGGGAATCCCTATAATGTTCAAAGAACATCGTGCGTTCCTAGGGAGGATAGGGATAGGAGGTAGGTATTGGAATTTTTTTTTGAACTTCTGGAGATTATATGTTGTTGGGAATACTTCCCCAGGCAATGAATTCCAGAGCCCAGCCGTTCTATGGATGAAGGAGTTTTGATAAAGTGCTGTTCGGCATCTTTCGAGGTTGACAACGAAGGGATGTGCTGACTGGGCTTGTCTAGTTCGTCTGACTGGTATTGCTAGTGTATCAAGATGTGAGTAGATTGGAATATTTCTATGTGCTTCCTATCGGAGTTAAACGAGAGGAACTTTTTTATGCAAAAAGCCTCAAAGTTTTATAATTTTCTGCTAAAATCGCGAAAAAACTGCACCCGAAAGTTGGGGTTATTTTAAACCCCACCCCTTACAGTTTGGCCGATTTCTAGATGATATTTTGAAATTATCATCATCGCGTATTATTAGACAAAATTCCATGATTCGAAGATAGAAAATAAAACCATCTTCAGGGTACCACATTTAGAGGGGTGCAGCTCGCATATTATGAAACATCATTCAACCTATGTTTATAGGGATTTTTTTTTTCTCAATTTGCGGGTGAAGTATTGCCTGCTAATTATGGGACACCCTATATATATGTGATATATATCCAGGAAAAGAGTACTCAATTTTTTAAGAGAACAATTTATGAAGTGACATTTTTTAACCTGGCAACAGAGATGAAGTTTTGAATTTTTTTCCCGTCACAGAAAAATAGTTATTTATTATACAAGGGAAAAAAGTAGCAGATTTCAGCTCCAGGTTGTGTTGTCTCCCGACGCGTAGCGGAGGGAGACAAAAAACCGTGAGCTAAAATCTAATATTTTTCCCGTGTATAATACACTATTTTTTTCTGTGACAGAAGAAAGGACGAATCAATATTGAGAAGATATTACTTATTTTGAAATCTGAAAATTATCGACGTGAAATTTCAAGTATTTAACAGTAGGGACACCTGCGTTGTAGGCATCTATATCATTCTTTTGAAGTAATCAAAAAATATCTGATGTCACTTCTGTCAGTCTAATTCTGTGATTTGGTTTCAAAAAATTGCGAATTGGTTGTTTAGTAATATACGTAACCGCGAAGTCGAATGGAAGATAAAAAGACTTACAGTTCTTTCTCGGAGACGGTATTATTGACTCATTTTTCGGAACTATAAGTACTCACTTTTTTCCCACGGGAAAAAAGTAATTTATGAAAAGTGCCATTTTATAACCTGCCAACAGAGATGAAATGCCAAACTTTTTTCCCGTCACAGAAAAAACATTTTTTTTTTCATCATCAGCAATTGATTCGTTTCATTTTCATCATCAAGGTATAAAAATATATCGTTAGATTCTTGTATACTTTGTTCGTTGTAACATTGAGAGGGATTTCAGGCGAAGACATTTGGAACATGTTAAATTTGTTCTGGATAAAAATCCTGCTAAACAGGGTGTATATCAAACACCGAAATAATTCGAGGGGTGATTCCTTGTTATATTCTAGCAAATAAAGTTCATATAAACATGTGTCCTAACCTGTTCTGTTTTGAGATACAGAATGTTGAAGTTAGAAGTATCAATTCTTTTCATGTATAACCAACCTGAGAGGCTTCCATGGTGCCAAAATTCAGTATGGTTGGAGACTGACAAAGCCCCAAAATTTCAAAATGATTCTAATTTGGGTTATTGAGTAATCTCAATGGAAGTCTTGAAAACACCTACATTAAAATTTCTTGGAACCAGGTCCTGTCACCAGCTACATTCTAGTTTGGTTTACAGTAGTCACTGGATGGTATTAGTAAGATAAGAGTTCGGACACAGACATGACAACTGTTAGTGTTTTTGAATGTTTAGATTCATCAAGTTACACACCCTGCTGACAAGAGCACCATAGTCGTTCCGCGCTTTTTCATTGAAAATTGTTTGAATTTGACAATAAATACTATACTGAATATAGAGACAGTATGTCTAATTCACAAGAAATACAGAAATGATATAAACAACTCGTCAGTATATAATACACGTTCAAGACACCATATTGCACTCCCCATCCCTACGTCAGCTCTTACTCAAAATTCTCTTATATACAAGAGCAGAAAATTGTTCAATCACCTACCCAGCAATTTAAAAGAAATACAGAGTGTATCCAGATTCAGAAAAGAAGTGAAAGAGTTCTTGGTTGTGAGGGCCTACTATACTACAGAGGAATTTACAGGATACAACTTTTTGGACTTTCCATTTTAGTTTAAATCATTAGCTGTTAATGTATTTTACCTGACCTTACCAATATTTATACTAAATTTACATTTTACGCCCATTACACACTGTGCAATGTATATATATATATAAATATTTTTTTTTTAATGATGTGTCGACAAATTTTTTTTATTTTTATTTGTATTATTGATTGACTATCTTGTGTATTGTCCAAAAAACTGTTTTCAACATTTGTGTGTACTCGTGTGTAATATACACAACTATCAACTTTTAAATTTAAATTTAGGATTTCAGACTTTGTCAATAAGATGTATCTATCTTCAGACAATAAAGTATTTTGATGATGATGATGATGATGATGAATGTCAGAATTGAAATATAATCACATTTAATCATTGAGAAGAAAGCAAAAATGAAAATGTCCTGCTGTGTAAGAAAATGGATTTAATTTATTTAATTCGACAAAGGAATATCAACCCCATTCTCTTATAAATTAATTTTAAGGCAAGCAAAATGCGTGTGAGAGAAAAGAGAATCCATTATTATCATCACACGAAATGCAAAACAAAACTATCATGGAGAAAGAGGAATTGATTTCAAAATTACGCAATGAAATTGAAAATTTTAGATCGAAACTGAGGAAATCAAGTAAATTGCAATGTGATATACCATTGAATGGCGATTTCATTACCGACCGAACTAGCCTCGGAACTAGCTATTAGTATGTCCATAGAAGTATATCCATATGTCTATGTTGTCATTAAAATTTTGTTACATGCATTCTTTTCATTTTTTTAACTGCTATTCTGCGAAAAGTGACATATCGCTATGAATTGAAGTGGGTGTGTTTATACCCTATTACTATTTCCCATATACGGCTATGATTG